CTTTTTTTTTCGTCAGATTTCAGTTAGATTTCAAAATAGTCGAAGAGTCGTCTGTATTTATTTGACGTATTTCATAAATTGACGAATGCGTTGCATTGTTACTTTTTAATATTAATTATTTTGTATATAATCCATTGGATAATGCAGTAGATAGAGTTTAGTGTTTTGATAATTTCAATTCTTTGGTCTACAGAGAAGATTATGAGAGTAAAAAAAAGTGTGTATAATCATCTATATGTTAAATTCCCGTTTCGTCGAAAAATTAAATTGTAATGAAAAAAAGGAAGATCAAAGCAACTAACTTTAATTGTGTTGATTGTCTTAAACAATATTTTTTCTAAAGAAATTAATAAAGGGTGTTGATGTGGGCGTTTAGTTCACTGAAATCCACATCTACACACCCTTACCAACAATCATACACGTCAGAAGGATATCTTGAAAAAGTTATTTGATTAATTGATATAATAAAATATTGTTTGTTTTTGTTTTTCTACATATTTTCTGTTCTAATATCTTCTGTATTCATATTTAATAGCGTTCTCTAGTGAAATTTTCTGAAAAAATCATTTAGAATTATCAAGAATTATCTTTGATTAGTGTTTTTAAAAAAATCTAATTAAACAAAATGACGTACTCTTTTTCTCTTCATTGTATTTTTATTTTTCGACAAAACGGGAACAGACATAAGTTTATTTTCGATGAACCAGGACCTAATCGTATACTACTAGTCAGTACATCTTTTTCAATAACTATTAATATACTTACTTTTATTCATTCATACTTCATTAGTACTCGTAAGTACAACATTTCAATTTTTTATATTATCAGCTAGATTCGAATTATTTTTTTCAAAATATGATTTTATACTTAAATGCTTTTAGATTAGAAAATAGTTATAAAGATTAAAGCAATGAGATTTAAGATCTCTATTATCTTTAAAATTTTTTTATTCATATTTGAAACAATTGATCTTGAGAGATGACAATTTTGAAGTACTTTTTCATGTGTAAGTAACTTTTATATTTCAAGATTTTAGTAATTTAATGAAGTTGAAATGCATGAATTTAGTATTACTTTATTTTGAGAAGAATAATGTGAAAGTTCAAATGGATAACATCATTAAAAGTATTAGGAAACAACAACAAATTACCATGGAATACTTGGTATTATTTTAATGCGGTATTTTTATTGTGAAAAACTATTATTTTTCATTTCAAATATCTATATATTGCAACGCTATGTCAATTCAACATACTAAAATATTATTATTATTAATATAAATTGAATAAATGAACCTGTTCATTATTTTGATTGATATTTATTATTTCAGATTTTCAATCTGTTATAGTTGGATATTAATTTAAACTATTATTAAAGGATAATTAGCTACTTTGATAGTTAAAAGAAAAATATTCGTCAAATACTATTTTGCACTATTTAAAAATAGTTAAATAGTTGGACCATCAATAAATACTATCAAGTCCTTTATTTATGTTAGGACTTTGTTCAGATAATAAATGACTTACAGATAATTCTGTCACAAGTTAACATCGTTGTCGTATAAAATGATATATATATATATATATATATGTTATTGATGAATTTCGAGAAATGACATAAGATAGTCTATATTGATAAGCAAGAATTATTAGTGAACTCAATATAATTGATTTCATGTCTTATGATCCACTGATTTTTAAAAATTGATTTTCATTTTTGTCAAATATTTAATTCGAAATGATGGAATCAAAACAAATAACTGAATAAAAACTTTTCATTCACTTACTATTTATCTTCTCTTGTATGAAATTCATATTTCTATTATTCTTTTTTTCGATTAATGTGATACTTGATTTTTAGATTTTTATATAGAAAAATTTGATAGACTTATTCTGTATAATGTTTAGTAAAATATTTATTTCTTTATTAATCTATGATTTTATGGAGAAACTTAGTTCAAAATCATCCATAGTTATCCAAAAAAAAAAACAAAGTCTTATTGTAAAGATAAGTTAATAAACTCCGAAATATCGATGAATGAAGAACTTAAACACCAATTAGACTTTATTGGCATTTGCATTAATATTTTCATATTGAAAAGTATTTGAATATATATTATGTTGAAATGAAAATAAGAAAAACAACAATATCACAATTGTACAATAAAATGCATACTACTAGTACTGGCTCCATCATTAATGCATGATGTTCTCAAAGTACAGAATGATAGACTTTTGAGTAGATTTCAACACTAGAATATCTATATCTTCTCTTTTAATATTCATTAAATAGATTTTTTTTTCGATGCAGTTGCTCACACTTGCAGAGGTTTTCGCAGTACTTTTGGTTGTTAAATATTTCGTTATATTAAGGAAAACATTGATGTTCTATGTTTAAATCAATTTTTCGAGCTAAAGCCTTTGCATATTATTTCTTGGTATTTTGTAAAATTTTGGGATATTTTACTATAGGATAGAGATGAGGTATAATTATTTTATTTCTCAAAAGTAAAATGATTGCTTTCTTTTGCATGATGCAAAGCGTCTGGATATTGTCAAGCATTTATAAAAGGTGAACATCCTTTAATTCTGAGATAACTCGACGGTTAAAATTATCATTAATGAATTGAATTCTAATTTGTTTTTTTTTTCATTCGAGCAAAAAGTAAATAAAATATGTCACCTATATTCTAGATCCAACGATGGACGAAATATCTATGTATTTATTGAAATATTCTATATTCTATTGGATCATATTTTCGTGTATGTACGGTTGGCCTTGCAGAAAGGCAGTTAATGTTCTAGAAGAATAATTAAAAAAAAAACTATTTTAAAAAACGTAATTACAATTTCACTTTTTTCTTCGAAGTGATAACAGAATAAAATGAATGCCATTGAATTTGTAAATGCTATTAATTTATGTACAAATATTTCCTTAGAATAAAAACATTTATATTTTTCTTTGTTTGCAAGAAAAAAAAGGTTTTTTTAACAGTCTACTTGTTGATTCATTCGGTTAGAGAAAATATTTGTTTTCATGCGTTAAGAGAACAATATATTTAATTATAACCTAATAGAAACGGTAGATTTTGTTAGAGTAGTTTAATAGCTTCTCTTTTGTTTCAAGGTTTTTGTGATGACATTTCATGGAGAAATTTAATTGATAGTAAAAAAAGTTGTGAAACAATGACAATGAAAACTCAAGATCAAAATATATTCAATTAATATTAGAATTATCTAAATAGTACATATGAATGAAAATGTTTCACCCGACTCTTGATATCACCATGTCTGAATATATACTAAAAGGATAAACATCAATGCATATCAATTGTAAGAACAAGTGATGAGGTCATTGACAATTTCAGTGGGGCAAAGAAATATGTGACATTGTCGCTAACATATCTTCTAAGACTCAAACGATAGGACAGATATTAGATTCTTCAGATTTCACTTCTCTCAAAAAGTAGAGAATATTCTTTTGTCCCATAATGGATATAATAAGAATAAAGCGTGTTATTCAGCTGAAAGTGATTAGCATTTTTGCCCTTGGAGAAATCTGTATTCTTGTAAAGAAGAGAAATTTCTATGTAAAAACAAATGTATTGATAATGAATTGCAACACGGTAGTATCATTAAATGCTTTTTGAAAGGAGAAGATGAATAGTTTTTTTGATACTATAGAAAAACGAAAGATTTGTAGATTTTTCTTTATTCTTTCTTTTTATCTAGATCAATATTCGTACAACACGCATGAAGAAAAAAAGATTCCCATCAACAGGAGCACAATATCAATTACAAAACAATAAATATATTAACAACAAAATTATTTTCATTTAATGTAGATTTCCAATAGAGAATTATATGTTAGAACTAATAAAAGATGAAACGTAAGCAATTATATTTGTTTATATATTTGTCAAACTATTATGATGTTAAATGTTATTGACAAGGAAAACGATTCATGTGATTTATTTGAATACGTCTAATTCTAGACAACGATGAAATAATCAATTTTACATTTACTAAATTTCCATAGCATTAAGATCTTCTATACTTTTTATATTTGATTTCAACGATTTACTTTCAATTACTTCAAGTTGATTTTGACAGTATTCGTTAAAATACATAGTAATTGAAGAAAAAAAAGAAGAAATTCTTCTAAAAATATTTAAATAGGAGTCTAACAATTGATCTTGTATTCTTACGTAATGAATAATTCAGACATATATATGCGATGTGTTGACAATAGTTTCAACGTACTTTAAATATATTTTGCTATCTAGATAAGGTAGAAATCAATCTTTTCATCATATTAATGATTTTTCCAGAAAGAATTATATATGTTTTAGTATAAATTATGAACGAAACAAACGAGTTAATTTCTAAAACAATTATATCTCAATTAAATTCATATTAAAAAGTTTGATTGAATACTAACAAAAAAGATCAATGAACTTTTTCTAGTATGATTACGATTTTATGATCTTTTTCATAAAACATTGCTTAGATTATTAGATATATCATTGATGTTTCTCGAAACTTCTAGTTTTTAATTAAGATCTAGAATACAATGAACATGTGACTCTAACACTACAAAAAACACCACTTGTAAATATCTGTTATAGTATTATTGTTATGAGTATTAATAGTACAGCTAACAGTTATTTTTCTTGTTACAACATATGTATACATATAAGAACCGTATCTAAGAGAAGAGAATTACGTATATAGAAAAGGAATTCTCGTGATTGCTTTTATATGACATCTATCGAAAACTATCATATATAGTTCTCATCGTTTATTCTTGTGTAAAAAATGAAGGGATGGTAAACAAAAATGATGACGTAGAATATGACGATGTCAATCAACCGTTATGAAGAAGACTTCTAGAACAAAAGTCTATTAATTATTTTATTATTTAAAGAAATATATTTCGATATATTTCTTTATACTTTCAAAAAAAAAACAAACAAATTCTTATGAACAGATCAATGCATTATGTCAAATAGTGATTTTCAACAACAAATTGATAATTTTCATACTGTATGTATTGTTTTATATTAATTATTCTGTGTATTTCTTTTTTCTCTTATTAATTTTAAGAACTTGACAAAATTATCTATTATATCTTGGACAACAAATGATGTTGAACAATGGCTTTGTTCAATTAATTTATCAAATTTTATTGATAAATTTTGTAAACAAAATGGTATCGATGGTTTAACATTACTTCTTATGAAAGAAAATGATCTTAAACAAGAACCATTAGCTATTCAACGTTTAGTTGATATTAAAAAATTATGGTATCATATACGTATATTACAATGTAAACAAAATGATTTTTATTCACCATTAAATATTTCTACATCATGTTTATTTAATGAAAATAATGAACAACAAATTGATTTATTTCAAACATTAAAACAACAAAATTATGTTGATAATACTTTAAAACATAATCATTCATCATTATCACCAACTCATTTACGTGAATCAAATGTACATAATACGTATAATTCATGTCAAATATCTAATCAACAAAAATCTATTTTAAATAAGTTAAATGGTGAAAAACAAAAATTATTAGTCAGTTTTATTTATGCATTAGTTAGTGGCATATGGACATCATTTATTATGGTTGTTGTACACAATCGTGTACCCAATGTACAAAAGTTAGAAAGATAATATATACTTTATATTTATCAATTAAATGAATTTATTTTAGATACCCACCATTGCCTGATCTATTTCTTGATAATATTCCACATATTTGTAAGTAATTTAAGGGAACTCCCGTTTCCGATGTTTTTCGAAACTGACTCGACGAAAAATGATGAAACTTTCAGGACCGATAGAACTCAATAAGTAAAACAAAAAAGTTGTCATAGATTCAAAATTTTCAGAGAAAAAATTGTCAGAAGTTCTCTCTCCGCTTCGGCCAAACTTTACACTTCATTTTTTTCGTGCTGCAAGTTTTGTTATGATAACTAGAATTAAATCGAGATGCGCAACTTTTTTTCTTTGAAAAATGTCATTCCTATATATAAAATACTGGAAGCACTGTCAAGACACCTGTATTTTTCAAAGACTGCTGAATTTCGTAGGCATAACATTTTAAAGAAAACAAAAAAATACGAATCCCAATTTGATCAAAGTATTCATAAAAAACTTGAATCTGATCGGACATATCGTGTGAGAGCAAAGATAAGAAAAATTCGTTTCCTTTGTTCAAATATTGATTATGCATATATATGTATGATTTTAATACAGTGACCACAAAAAATACAAAAATTTTGACTCGTAAAAAGTGGAGGAGAGGTATCCTTAAGAAATAAAAAAAGTAACATAAAATAAAAATATAATTTTTTTTTCAGCTTGGGCATATGCTGTTAGTGAATATATTATTGTTGTTATGAGTTTTATATTTTTATTGATTTTAATGTTTCATAAATATTGGTAAATAAAACAAAAAAATCCTATATTCTTTTTTAATAATTTTAATTACTCTTTTATAATAGGAATATTATACTACGAAGATTTTTTGCACTTTGTGGAACAATATATTTTCTACGATCAATAACTATGTTAGTTACATCATTGAGTGTAAGTATATATGATATGAGAGATTTTGTTGAAGTTTTTAACTATGTTGTTCGAGATAAACTCCAATCTTAAAAATTTTTTGTGTTTTTTTTTCAGCATTAACAAAAAAATTTTCTAATCGGTCTTTTGAATTATCGATCGACTATTATCGTAAACTCTATCGACCTTAGAATATACCTGCATATTAAATCGTTTCGTGCGCAAACAAATATTAAGAATTTCACATACAGCACTGTGTCATTGACGTCAGAAGAATGTGAGCTTATCAAAGATTAAATATTCTGTTTGATAAAACCCTCTTTACAAATTAACTTATCCTATATGTTGATTTTTGTATAATTGACAAATAAAACGGATCAAATATATTAGTTTATGATAAATGTACATATGTCTATATACTTGCAGATGAATAACTATAAATTCATTTACAAAAAAGATTTTTCAGATTCTGCTGTATAACAGATAAAATTGTTTATAGTATATCGATAAGCTGAGTAATGGTTTTTTTTTTTTTTTATGAATACTATAAACAAAGCGCCTTTATTTTTAATTTCGAGAAATTTATTACTAAATTCTATATGCAGACTGTAATACTCTTGAGATTCTTCTCCTTGTTTCATTTGCATATGTATATTTAAGTCATCAACCTAATATCATACTTATCTATTCAAGTATAATTCTTTTTCTTTTTTTGTTAAATATTGAATCAAATTGATAATACAATTCAAGAGATACTTGATATTTTAGGTACCCGGTCATCATCTTGATTGTACTCCATTGGTAAAATAAATGTTCGCGCTTGAATGAATTTCGAAAATGATAATATTTTGTTGTTTTTTTTAGAAATATGGCATGTCTGGAGAAATTTTATCTCGTTGTATACAAATATTTCTTTTTCAAGGATTATCAAATCAACGTGTACGTTCGTGTGGCGATTATATGTTTTCTGGTCATACAGTTATATTAACATTATTAAATCATTGTATTACAGAATGTAAAAAAACAAAAAAGACAAGGAATAAAGGAAAATATTTTGTATTCTTTTTTTTGAATCTTTAGATACAACATCTGATTTTTATGTAATACATTTACTTTCATGGTTCTGTAATATATTTGGTATGATATTAATTCTTGCAGCACATGAACATTATTCCATTGATGTATTTATTGCATTTTTTTTAACAAGTCGTTTATTTCTATATTATCATTCATTAGCTAATAATGCTGTTTTACATTCAAAATCAGATAATCGTTTATCAATATGGTTTCCAATGTTTTCATATTTTGAAAAAAATATTCAACGTATGGTGCCTAATATATTGCGTGTACCATGGCCATTAACATTCATTTATACACATGATGAAAATAAGGAGGAATAAAAACATCCTTTAATTAAATTTTCTCATGAAAATTTTAGTAATTATGAATGCAAAGGAGAATGAACTTGGAGTTTTTTTTTTTCTTTTTGAAATGATTTTGTTTTGAGAAGATAAGAAAAAATATGTTACTCACTGGCTTCTAAAGTTCAATTTTTTTTTTTTTCATGTATGTTTTTAGTGCAATATTATTTTTCTTCATATCAGTGCAATTATATGATTCATTTTCTTTTTCTTCTTAAAATTAAATAGATAATATATTCTGTTTTTTAGATAATCGTCAAATGGCGACGTTAAAATAACACTATGATAAAAGACACGGTATGTCAAATAAGGGGAGAAAAAAAAAGAAGAAAGATAAGTAAATCAAGATGCGTGCTTTTTTTCTCTTAAAACAAGTACCTTTTCTTTTTGTCATTTGAGATAGAGTCGAAGGTCGATTTGTTAATACTAGTGTCACCTTATTTAGGGATATACTGACGTATATCGACTCACTTTCTTAATAAAGAATAAATATTTTCAGTCCATATTTGCATTTTTAACCAGGTATTACAAAAAACAACATGTTTTACTATAATACATAATGTTTTTCTCAATTATTTTCTTTTATATAAGGCAATGCAATCTTTGTTGGGAAAGAATATGAGTAATTTTTTATTGCCATATTTTCTTTGTTGTTATCATTAATCAGCGTAGAAATTGAAGCTCTTGTTACCTCTTTCGATGTAGTTGATTAATATCGTTGACATTGTCACATATAATGTCGGAGTAAAATAATCTATGTAGAAAAGGTAAAGAAACAAAGAAGAAGGCGAGTTATAGCATAGGTTAGGCAATAAAGAGAAACGTATGTGTGTAAGCATTGAAGCTTTATCGTTTAATGCAAGAAGAAGTGTCAACATCAATTATTCGTTCTACTCTATTTGAGTCTTGTTGAATGCCTAATGTGCCTAAAATTTACCTGCATGACCAAGAAAAACTTCTAGAGATAATTTTTTTCTTTCGTGACAAACATTTATCTAAAAAATATTAAAGAAAAAAAACAAATATTGTGTAGGAAGTGAAGTATGGTTTTTATTTATGAATTTTAGTATCATCCATCATGAATTTATGAAATATTTCCCTCTTCCTCTCTCTCTCTCTCTCTCTCTCTGAGTTTTATTGTGACATTTTAATCACATACGTGTATTTTTCTTTCATTTTAATTTGACAGAAGATAAATGAGAACTATTGTGTAGATTTTTCTTCTCTTTCATATTTCATCATAGTCTTACTGTATTTCTAAATATTTCAATCATATGATTAACTATTCTAATCATAATGATCTACATAAAATCAATCTTATTAATTTTTTTTAGAAACAAAACGCCATCTAAAATCATGCTCGTTTCAACACCATCTGTTAATTCCCATCAATTAACTAATAATATAATATCATCCAATACTTTACATTCTTCACTTCCATCATCATATTCAACATCATCATTAACACCATCAAATCCATGTACATGGTCAATAAAACAAGTTGAAGAATGGCTTATAGAGCATGATCTAAATGATTGTATTGATTTAATTTGTTATCAACATCGTATGAATGGACAACGTTTAATGAATTTAAACGAAGATGATGTTTTACAATTAAAAGGTACAAAGAAAAATAATGAATTATGGTTACAAATTAAAAAATTACAACAATTTTATTCAAGTAATTATCATTTATGGACACAAAGACAGTTAATACAACAACAACAACAACAACAACAAGCACAATCTCAACCAATGACAACATCACCATATTTGGCTTCATCTTCATTACAAACATCCATACCATTACGTTCTATTCAACCATTAACACAAATTCGACCAACATCATCATCTTTACCATTTTCATCACCATCAATTCCATCAACACAATCACAAACATCATTAACATCATCATCATCATCATCATCATCATCATCATCGTCATCATCATCATCATTACATGCAACAATACAAATCAATCAAAATCAACAACAAGAAGAACAACAAAATCCTTCTGTCTCATCATCAACAAATCAAGCTCAAACAGCAATACCACCAACGATAATTCTTGAACGTTCACCTTCAACTGTAACACGTACAACAAATCATCAACAATATCAACGAAGGTCTTCGCGTAGTTTATCAACATCTAATACATCTATTAATCTTCTTCCATCAGCAACAACAACACAACGTACAACGAATACATTATTAAATCTACATCATACACCATTTGATCAAATTGAAGATCAACCAATAACTAGTTGTTGTTTTGCTGGTTCAATACGTTCTGATACAAAAAAGACTTTATCAGCATTTCTTCTTGCCTTTTGTACTTTATATTTTTGTTCATTTATGATAACTATTGTTGATGAACGTTTACCAGATCCAAGAAATTTTCCACCATTACCAGATCTTGTACTTGATAATGTTAAACAAATACCATGGGCATTTTCTGTTACAGAAAAAATCATTGTCATTGAAATGGCTACACTTATATCAATTATTATTCTTCATCGACACAAGTAAATAGATACATATATATATATATATATATATATAAGTTTTTTTGTCTTAAAATATATATTTTTCATTTATATATAAGAAGAATTTAAATTATAGTAGTATGATTATAATTAACGGTAAGTTATTGAGTTCAATAAATATTAAGAGGATAGGATACTGACTTTAGTTTTGCTGCGGTGTAATAACAAATACTTACATAAATATTAATGTTTGATAATTTGATTTAAATAGAAAAGATAAAAAAAAAGAATATTTCTCTTTGTTTATTGTTTAGATTGATAATACTTCGTCGTTTATTTGCAATAGCAGCAGCACTTTATTTTCTTCGAAGTCTTACACTGGTTTTTACATCATTACCGGTTGCTACAGAAATAACTGATTGTCGACCTGAGGTTCGAGATATTAAAATATTTGTATAAATGTATATATATATTTCATATCTTATTTGTATTTTTATTTATAGAGATTCAGTAGTTTTGGTGCTCGTTTAAAAAAAGCCAATTTAATTTTTCTTGGTCAGGGAATGTCTTCATTTGGTGTTAAAACATGTGGTGATTATTTATACAGTGGTCATACATGTACACTTATACTTGCTACACATTTTATTAACGAATGTAAGTATTGAAAAGAAAACAATATTATTTGATCATTAAAGGAATATATTAAACAAAAAAAAAAACACTTTTCTTATTTGAAATCGATCTGACTCTATGAAAGTAGGAATACATTTTTGATATTGGATTCTTTAGACATTCGAAACGAGAGATTCAATGTTAAAATGTGTTTATTAAAAATTGTAAAGAAATTCATTTATTTTCATTGTATAACGAATTTCTATGTTAATATGATTTGAAATATAGAGATTAGAAGAAGATAGGAATGAATGATTTCAGATCGAAATCGTCGTTTTCCATTTGAATACACTTTAAAAGTTTTAAAATCGATATGAATTCCACATGAACAAAAGATTTTAAATAAAAAAAAAAAGCCTTAAGAACTAAAATATTTATTCATAAAAACAAAACAATAAAATTTTTCTTTTTTTCTAAGATTCGCCACGTTCATATCATCTACTTCATTTCCTCAGTTGGATTATGGCACTAACTGGCATGTTTTTTATTTTGGCTGGTCACCAACATTACTCAATTGATATTCTTGTTGCATGGGTGCTTAGTTCTCGTTTATTTATTTATTATCATACGTAAGATTTATTTCTAAAGAGAAACAAACAAAGAAAAAGAAAAGAATTATTTATTTAGTCTTGCTAACAACCGAACATATTTCCAACGAGATAAAAATCGAATGAGAATATGGTTTCCATTTTTTTCTTATTTTGAAGAAAATGTTAAACAAGCACTACCAAATGAATATTGTCTACCAGATTTTATTAATGAATCACGTACGACGCTCAAAAGTTGGTTTGATAAAGTTCGATATCCGACAGATTGATTTATGAATTCTTTTTTCCTTTTTGTGTTACATCTATTCATTATTATCATTACTAGTAGTCTTTCGTTAACAAAAAAAATTCTTGCTTTTTTTTTTAAATATACAAATCAAACTCTTTTCTTTTGTGTAATTGCTTAATTGAATTTGAAAAACAAACATGTTTTTCACACCGGTTATATAATTTGCATACATATATCTTAGAAATTTAATGTGTTTTCTTTTGTTGTTTCTATTGCGAACTCTATGCCTTTTTGTTGTCATAATTTTTTTCGTTTTGTTTCCTTCTTTATTTGTACTATAGTACAATGAACTAAAAGTTCTCGTGACAACTTGAATTTTAGTTATGATCTATTTTCATTTTTTATCTGTGTAATATTTCATTGTGATTGTTTGTTCTTGGTTAACATCTGTCCTTCATGTAGATCAATGTATTACACTGTGTTCATCTACTATCTGCACAGAAAATGAAAGTTTTTGTTTTTAATTTGACTTTTAGTTCATTGTACAATAGTACTACGTACACATTCCTTAAGATTTATGTCAGATGCTACATCAGACTTCAATATCTTGTTGCTTTATTCTATAGAAATATCATAGCTATTTTTCTACATCTATTTCTTTCTATCTTATGTATGGTTTAACTTTTTTTTTTGTTCTCTTTTTTTTGTCATCTCGCGAAGATTAACTATGGAAATAAGTTCGGCAATATCTTTTTAAGAAAAATTCTATTCGCTTTTTTTTTAGATTATAAAAGAAAAATATATAATACGGTAATGAATGAACAGTGCACATTTTCGATCATTTTCAACAACATTTTATTATCAAATAATAGATTTCTGTAATGAATCGAAAACCTTTAGATTTCAATATAAATATATAATTTCCTGTCAAAATTATCTAACTAGAAGATTATTTTATTTTATTTTGTGTTTACATCTCTAAAACAAGATGAACTACTTAGAATGATCTAATTTTCGTCAGATTACATACCATAATCTCTTGTAGACTAGTAAAACATTTAACGTCAATCCATTGATCTCTTTACTTTTTTTATTGACAATACAATCACAGCATGCCGTTTTTTAATCCTTTCAAAATTATCGATCCTTTTATATTCGAAAACTGCTGCATGTCTGCTCAAGGTTGATATTTTCTTTATAATATATAATTCAATAGGACAAATTGTGCTCTATGTAAGGAGTGCTTTTTATCATAACTTTTCTTTGAATATGCACTTGAAAACAATGCTTTTTTTTTATCTATATTGAAAATTTTCAACAAAGAAAGCACTAAAAACTATCTTTTTCATATTGTGTTTAGCTTGTTTTATTGTTTAATATATAGCAATAGGAAAAGTACTATCCATTGTATGAATTGTTCTATTTGAATAGATATTTCATGTTGCAAATTTGTGTTGGTCTTGTAATATGTTTACATCAATTCATAGATAGACCTTCTTATACGGTCTCATTCATGCATTGAAGAAGATAGAAAAAAAAATTGTTTTAATAGAGTAGATTTTTTGGGAAAACTTTTGTCCGTATAAAACTCTTATATGCGAAATCAAAATCATTCATATCATTTAAGTTATACACTTTTGTTAAGTTATAAATAGTCAAAGTTAATAGTTTAGCGTAGTACCGGCAACAAGCTAAGTGCAGATCTCATTAAATACATAAGTGATTTTCGCAAGATGTCTGTATGTGGATAGAGGATGAAATATAGAACAACGCGCTATATTAAGTTTCGTTTGATACATCTTTGTTTCGTGAAATATATATTCAGTTTGTTAATGGAAGTACAGTAAGCTTTTAACTTCGGCTATTAATTACTTAACAAAAGTGTATAATTTAAGTGATATAAACGATTTTCATTTCAAATACAAGAGTTTTATATGGAAAAAAGTTCTCCCAAAAATTCACGCTGGTAAAACAATTCTTTATATCTCCTTTAATGTATGAATTACAAAGTCAACACAAGTTTGCAACATGAAATATCGATTCAAATAGAACAATCCATGCAATCAGAAGTAGTTTTCCTATTTATATATTGAACAATAAAACTAGCCAAACATATAATATGAAAATGATGTTTTTTTTTTGTTCCATTTTTATTGAAAATTTCCAACATAGATCAGAAGGACATTGTTTTTAAGCATATACTCAATAGAAAGTCATGATAAAAGTACTTCTTATGTAGAATATAATTTGCCCTATTGACTTATATATTCTAAAGAAAATTTCAACCTTGAGCAGACATACAGTAGTTTTCGAACATAAGTGGTTCGGTAGCTTTGAAAAGGTGAAAAACAACATGCTGCCATTGTATCGTCAATGAAAAAGTAAAGAGATCAATGTATTGACGTTAAATTTTTTGCTAGTACAGGGTGGTCCATAAATAACTGTGCGATAAGAAATTCGAATATCTCCATTACGGCTCGAGCAAACGTGCTGATTTTTTTACCAGTGATAGAGGCATGTATCAAGTTTATATCAATAAAGACATGTCCAGGGAGACCCTTTGTTAAGTATTACTATTGCCCTCAACAAGAAAAATTTACTTTTTCACAGATAGAAAAAAAAAGCAGTACACTTAACAGAGGATCTATCTAGGCATGTCTTTATGGATATGAAGCTTGAACATGCCTCTATTATTGGTAAAAATATCACCTCGTTTGCTTGAGCCGTAATGGAGATATTCAATTTTTATTTTGGCAAACTGACTTTTGGGCCATCCTGTTTATAGCCCAAAAGTCACCCATCCGAAAAAGAATTGAATATCTCCCTTACGACTCGAGCAAAAAAGCTGATTTTTTTACTGGTGATAGAGGCATGTATAAGCTTTATATCCATAAAGACATGTCTAGGAAGACGCTTTGTTAAGTATCACTACTGACCTCAACAAGAAAAATTTCACTTTTTCACAGATAGAAAAAACTCTAGTATACTTAATAAAGGATCTCTCTAGGCATGTCTTTATGAATATAAAGCTTGAACGTGGCTCTATCATTAATAAAAGAATCAGCTCGTTAGCTCGAGCCGTAGCAGAGATATTCAATTGTTTTCGGTAAAGTGACGTTTTCTTCTAATTGTGAAAAAGTAAATTTTTCTTGTTGAGGTCAATAGTGATACTTAGCAAAGGGTCTCCCTGGACATGTCTTTATGGATATAAACCTGGTACATGCCTCTATCACTGGTAAAAAAATCAGCACGTTTGCTCGAGCCGTAATGGAGATATTCGAATTTCTTATCGCACAGTTATTTATGGACCACCCTGTATACAAAAGACTATGGTATGTAATCTGATGAAAATCAGATCATTCTAGCTCATCTAGTTTTAGAAATATACACAAAATAAAATAAAGCTATCTTCTGATTAGATAATTTTAACATTCTACTAAAGATAGATTTATATAATCATAGCAACTTAAAGTCTGAATATAATAAACATTTATTTTTGTTCAACAATATCTCGTCATTTCAATAAACATTTTTATTTATTCACCCATATTTATCTTAAGCATCTCGTTTTGCATGACTTTTGTTGAACAAAAAAAAAATCATTTCTTTTTCATAAACATTATTTTGTAGCGTACTTCCGTTTACAGCTGCATGTATGTATGACCGGTTGTGGAATTTGACTCAGAATTTTTTTTTTGTTAAATTGTCACGCCTACATCTATATTCAAACTGCTTATCGGCACGACCGCTACAACTATAGTTTTCTCTTTTTTCCCCATTCCAATCTAGTTTGAATAAAGTATATAATTGCACGAATTTATTTCTAGTTGAGTTCTAATTTTTCTCTGGCATAGCTAGGATTCTACTTCTGACTGATGAGTATTTAGTCAATTGTATAATTCCAATTTGGCTGAGAAAAAATATAGAATTAACGTAAACTCTAACGTTGTCTATAATATCGATATATACTAGAAACTAGTGCCGACAGTATATTTTCTGATCAATGTGTGATGACTTTCATATTAATTGTCAATCATCAATAACAGTAAATGAGAGTAAAATTAATATTGTGAATTAGATATTGATCGATTCAATTGTAATCGTATACTTTTTCAACTAGTTCACTTGTAATGAAATATATTCGAAATATCAAGTCCATAAAAATTTAACCTTATGTACAGTCGAATAAAAATTATACTCCGGTTTTTTCACTGATATTTTTTGTGCTTAATATACATTGCATGTTCGCTATTTTAATAATAATCTCTAAGAAAAATTGTGTTCATTTAATTTTTTTTATTATTTTATTGTTTCATTTATTTTATATGAATTTCAAATAAAAAAAAAATTCAGTATGTTTTAGTAAAAATAAATATTGTTTTTTTTTCTATTTGAATTAAGTTGGTAAATATTATTTTGTTATATTATTTGTTTACTGTTTATTATCGTTGATAGCGAATCAAAAAAGGAAGAGAAGAAATAAAAATATACAATGTATTTTTTTTTTTTTACTGTGTGTGGATGCCTGAGAATGAGAAGGAAAATATCACAATCGATATGCTCGCTTGAATCCCTTTTGCTTGTATTTCTTGCTAAAGCGACAGTTTTTTGTCTTCCTCCGCTTGTTTTTCTCTGTGATCTTGTCATGTGATGTTACTATTCTTGTTTACAAGTACGTACATCGATTACTTTATGAAACAGACATTCTCAATGACGTCTTTATGCGTTGTTGTTTTTATTCGTATTTGTCTCGATCAGAGAAATGTTTTTACTTTATTATAGTCATAATATATACTAATACTTTCAGATAAATATATAAATAGCACCGTCGAGGTGCATGGCAACTTCGATTCATTATTTTTTCATTGTCAATAAAGATTCATCGAACCATCATTACATTGATTATACTTCATTGTTCAAGAAAGTAAAACGAATTTTCTTTCAAAAAGAAAATTGCTGCATGATTAAGTCACTATTAATACGATTACAATTAACAATATGCTATCTGATGATTCATTACAAACACCACTACCACCATCACTATCTAAAACATCATCATCAGTACCATCCTTCCAAATAGTTTCAACATGTACGGGTAAACGAAAACGTCGACAACGTCATGAATCAAATACAACTGATAGTTCATCATCTCAAACTGTCATTCGTCGTAAAACATCATGGCGATGGGTTATTGTATTTGGTTCATTTTGTGTTCATTTTGTTGCCGATGGACTTCTCTTTTCGTTTGGTATGCTGATGCATTTAATTAAACATGATCTTAATCTTGAATTACATACTGTCGGTATTATTGCATCATTATTTGCTAGTTTACCTCTTTTATTGGCACCATTATGTAGTGCAATGGTGAATAAAGTTGGATGTCGTATTATGACAATGTTGGGTGGTTTTCTTTGTTCTATTGGTTTGTTTGTTGCGGCATACTTTGGTAATTTCATTGGTGCACTCATGGGTATTGGTATAACTTGTGGTAAGAAAATATTTAATCAATGATGATTTTTTTTAATTTTATTTGTATATTGATATAGGTGTTGGTTTATCGTTTGTTTATGTCCCAGCAGTTGTTATTGTAGCACATTATTTTGATGAAAATCGTGCTATTGCAACAGCTGTTGCTGTTGGTGGAACTGGTTTGTAATGTGAAAATAATTTTTGACAAAAAATAATAATAATTTGTTAATTTTAGGTATTGGAAATGCTGTTGTTGCCCAATTAATTCATACATTAAATGACTATTATGGTGATTGGAAAGACACAACATTATTTTTATCAGGTGTTCTCTTTACAATTGTTTTATTCGGAACACTTTTTCGTCCTGCTGAATTTGAATTTCAGCGTAAAAATAAAAATTATCATCATACAATTAATGATAAACGCTTACCACCATCATGTATGACATCGATCGAAAAATTACAACGTTTTGTAAATGAAATGGATAAACAACGTGCATTACGTCAAACAAATCAAAATGTTAGTATTTCATTATCAAATAATGAACGATTATCAACAGTAAATGAAGATAATGATTCAATATCAATTGCAAATGAATCAGATTTATTTGATTCATATTCAGCAGATGATATAACTGAAATTCAACATGAAAATAGTCTAAAAATCGATATAGGAACATTTCGAGAAAAAATTTTTAATGATATGACGTTTATTAATGAACGATGGAAAAAAATAACGAAAAAACAAGGAGAAACTGGAACTAATTCAAAATTATTTCGTATGCCTAATTTTCGATATTTAATATCAAATAAAACAAAAGAACGAAATAATACATTGACAGTTCCAAATCAAAGTACAAATGCATTAATTGATAAAACAAATCCATTACCTCATCGTAGTCATCATCATGGACAAGAGCAACAAAAACCTATCATGAACGAACAAAAACAAAATGGAGTTTTATCTCAAACATCATTTGAAGAAGCTACTAATAAAAAAGAAACAATGACAAAACCAGGTGAGTATACTAAATTTCGATGGAATTTATATGACATGGTTTTTTTTGTTGTAATATAGAATGTATTGATTTAATACCAATATCAAACAAAGAAACTGTTTTATCTCGACATCCTTCAATTCGTTTTCGTTCTCTTGCACCAGATAAACAAGAACAACATTTATTACAAGTTTATTATCAACCAATTAATCAGAAAGATATTTTTTATCCTGGTAATGTACCAAGAAAATTATCTACTAAACCACAAACATTATCAGCAACAAGTTGTCCTGATTTAATTCAACCGTATTTTTATGAAGAATCAGCAACATCAATTTCAAGTTCATCATCAGAATCTGACGATGAAAATGATTCAATATATCATCATCGACATCGTCGATTACTATTTTATCGTAAAGGTTTAACATTTCTTCATACATTACGTCGCATGTTAGGTTTGCAATTATTTCGTGATTATCGTTATGTATTAATATTTATTTCACAATTTCTATTTTATTTATGTTATGATTTAATTTATTTGTTTCCTGGTAAAAACAAAGAATGTTTCTATTTCATATTTTTAATACTTTTCTTTTTCTAGTCGATTATGGAGAAACAGTTATTGGTTATTCAAAAAAACAAATGACTATGTTAGTTACAATACTTGGTATAGGTCAGTTTTTTGGACAACTTTTTTTTGGTTTTTTGGCAAATTATTCATTTATTGATGAATTAATTCTCTATAATATTGGTGCAATACTTTGTAGTGTTGCAAGTTGTCTTATACCATTTGTTGCTTATTCATATAGTGCACTAATTATGGTAATTCTTCTATTTGGACTTTCAGTATCAGCAAATTATGCATTAACATCAATTATACTGGCAAATATGTGGGGTTTAGAATTATTAACATCAGCTTATGGACTTATTTTACTTGGACAAGGTTTATCATCTTTATTTGGACCTGTTTTGGGAGGTAAAAAAAGAAATGAATTAAAAGTTAAAATTAAGAATACAAAATATTGATTTGATTTGTTTTTCTTCTTTAGGTTGGATTGCTGAACATTATGGATATAAAGCATCATTGATTTTAGCTGGAGTATTTATGGGTTTATCCGGTGGTGTTACAACTATCTTATATATACTTCAATGCTTACATTGGCGAGAAAAGCATACCGAAAATGAAACGACGGTGAAAAGAAATACGACGATTGTCACGTCAGATAATCTCGGATGAGATTAAATGAAGAATAGTCATTCCAATTGATGTATATATTCATTGAATACATACGAACTTTTCTCTATCACGGTGATCTTAAGCAAACAAATATTACTTCATACATTTTTTCTCTTAATTTTGAATCTCATTAAAGTATCCCTTGCTTTCAGTGCTGTATCAATTTTCCTAGTATTTTTTTTTCTACTCGCTTTTTATTGTATTTGCAGTATATATATAGCGTATTTAACAGGTCGTGATATCTAATCTGTATCGGTGTGTATATTAGCTTTTGTCGTGTTGCATGTGCATGAAAATAATTCTACTTTCAATATATATTTATACATATACATATAAGTTAAACAAAAAACAAAACAAAAGAAAAACGGCTGATATAAAGGATTACAAGACATTTATACATCAGATAGTGCTGACAAATGAAGCAGAACACGATGACATGGTCTCTTATGTATGCACACATATAAACACCATTGAGCGACAATATCTAGTTTTTAAATCAAAATAGAAAAACAAGACAAGAATTTTTTTTTTTTTTAAATAAAACTTTATTGATGGTTTAATAAACATCATCTTTCAAAATTAATTAAACGACGACCAACCAAGTACTTTTCATCACGAACATGTTCAAATAATAGACGAAGTTGTTTGATTTGAAATATAACAAATGCTAATAAAAGCATAAGTGATATTATAGCTGAATATATATAACGTTCAATTTGATGTACAGTTGATGGATTAAATAATGTTGGTGCTATATGTGATACAGCTAAATATGGAAATGCCATAAACATTCCAATATTTAGTGTAAATGGTAAAAGAAATTCATTAATTAGAAATGAAAAATCAATACGACGTAAACCATCTTGATAAAGACGTTCAAGAACTGTTTTTAAGCGCCATTGTGGACCACTCATAATCAATGCTATAGAAAAAAATAAATAAAATTAATAGTGTTCATTTAACTTTTCTTTTGACATATGATCTAAGAGGAGTATTGAAGTATAGAACAACAAATCTCGATCATCTCTCATAATTATACAGTCATAAATTTAGAATTTGTTGCGAAATTTTTTCAAATTATGTTGAATTCTACAACAAGATAGTTCAATTATTATTCTTCTGAAGGTTTTAAAATCAAGTAGAGATAATATAGCGCTTAGTCATATATAAACGAAAAGACATATAATAGAAATCTCTGGTTTACAATGTAAATAGTTTTATTATTTTTCACATTTAATCTCTACAAGAATTATTCTAATAAATTTTTACCTATGGCAATTTTTGTATTTAGTAAACCAATGATCCAAACGCGCAATGGTGTAAGTACAGCTGTTTGTTCAATAGATGTGCTCAATGGTATAATTAAAACTAAAAGAAAATTATTATTTACTTTTGTCTTTTCAATTAATAAAATAATAAACTAGTTTACCTAATTCACTAGCAAGTCCAATCATAAACGGAACATAACCAATAACACAAAACGTACAAAGTATAACACGTATGCATAAAATACTATAAGATTTTAAGCGTGTTAAGATATTATTAATATCAAATGGTAAAAGTGATCGAATGAAAAATATAATACGTGTTATAAGCCAAAGAATATATAAACCAGTAAGTATTGTATATAATTCATGTAATCTTGCTGAACCTGTTATGAGACCAAGAAGATAACGACCAATTGTTGCTGGTATAGTTAAACCAAGGATTGAAAGGAATGCTAATGATAAACAAGTAAATAAACAAAGACCACATAAACGAAGACGAAAAAATGATGGTTCAATAAATGGTTGTGATGGTGATGATGATGGCGCTGGTTGTGGTGGTGGTGGTGGTGGTAGTAGTGGTGCTACTGCTGGTGGAATTATTTGTGCAGGTGGTGGTGCTTGTTCATCTTGAAGATTTTGAATTTGATCAGGAACAGCAACTATTGGCATTGGTAAAACATTATCATTCTGATCAACTTGTGGTGTATTTGTTATTGTCAATGATGGAGTATCACCAAGAAGAAATGAACGTAAACCTAACAACCATGATGCTAATTCCACCCATAATTGAAGCTATAAAGAAAAATACAAAATATAAATAAAACAAAAAGCTTTTCTTTTTCTTACCAAATTTTTAAGCATAGTACGTGTATGTCCTTGTTCAAGTAATGTTGGTAATATACCTTGTAATAAAATAAACTCAATCATTAATTCACTTACGACTGTTTCAAGACTGCCTTTAACATTAAATGGTAAAAATTTTGGTATAAAACGTACAAGTAATTCACCAGGAACATAAAACATCAAAATAATAACACAACCAAATATAATTATTGATGTTGCAAAACGTCTTACATGTAATACAAGTGGTAATTGTATCATTTCTTGTATAGGATTAAAATCAAGATCATTTATAGATTTTAAAAACCATAATGCACCTGGTCGTAAAACTTCACGTAAAAGAAATATAAATGTTGCAAAATAAAAAACAAATACCATTCCACATAACCAATGTAAAAATGTACTTGTTCCTGGACTTATTTGAAATTGTAATAAACGATCATTAAGTGTTACTGTACGCTCATTTAATATTCTTAATGAACATACATCAAGCCATATTCCACATATAAATGGAAAAAGAAGAATTTCCAATATAACAAGTAATGCTACTTTTAATACAACATAAGCAAGACCAACAAGACGACGTATACGTGTTAAATAATTGATAAAACTTAGTACAGTAAATGTAATTAAAAGAAAAAATGATATGAAAATATAACCAATCAAAGCATTAACACAACCTAAAAAAAATATAATCGAAGTACAAATATTTGAATAAAACAAAAAGTTAAGAATAATTATTTACCATAAGTTATCAAAGTATTAATCGGAGTTTCAAAACGTGTATTGATAACACTTTGTCGAAAGGTTTTACTTGATGTTATTATTTTACCGAGATGAAAAGGTGCAAAAGCAAATATAAGAATAAATAATGTATTAAGTGTTACAACCCAAAATACATGTTCAAGAAATTGTAATGAACCATCGAGACCTAATAATCGTTCCCATGTTAAATCATCAGCTGCTCGATCCCAATCAATCCAATTATGATTATTTTCTTGATTTTGTGCATTTTCAGCGGCTCCAGCTGGTGGAATAACTATATTTGCTTGTTCTTCTTCATCATCATCGTCATCATCTTCATCATCAACAGCATCAACGAACGCAACTTCCTCATGTTCAGGTTCGTTTTCTATGATAAAAAAAGTCAATATGATATATTCAAATAAAATGACTTACGAGCTAATGGTTGTTCAGCAATTACAGGAGCGAGAGGTTGAGGTGGGAGAAGAGGAAGAGGAGCAAGAGGTAATTCGTCTGTTGGTGCTACTGGTGGAACAATATTAATTTGTGGTACTGCTGGCGGTTGTCGAACAGGTTCAGGTTCAGCTGGTTGAAGCCAAGCAGGTCCACCACCAGTAAGAATTTGTTCTCGTAACCAAAGTAAACAAATAAAAGCACCAAGTGAACAGAAAACAACTAAACCTCCTTGAAGTACATCGGTAAATAAATGATCAGTAGAAACGATATCATATGGTAATGCAAGAATTGATGATATTGATCCAGCAAAAAGACATCGATATATACGACTAGCTGTTATAGGTACAACACCAAGCCAACAAAAAGCAACAATAAGATAATGAAGCCAATATCTCAGTGCTTTAAAAAAAGTATGTAATAAACCATTTATTAAATCTTTTAATGGTAAACGACCAGGTGGCATTGATGGATGATAAATAGGTGTAAATCGAAATTTTGTTCCACATAATTCACATTCTTCTTTTCGTGATACTTTTAACCATTGAATTAAACTATTAAAAAAGAAACGCATGTATTATTATTAATTTTGATACATGCTTATATATCGAAGAAATCTTACCAATCGTCATGGACAAATCGAATACTTCCATGACATAAACATGGATAGAAGAGTGGTCGATCAGATGTACCTTCACATCGGCATACACGACAGATATCAACATCTAAATGTAGAGATTTATTAATAGAATCTCATAAATAAAATTCATCTCTTTTTTTTTTTACCTGTCGAATCGTTTTCAGTGTTTATTTCATTTGCCATAATAAGTTTTCCATATAAATAAATTTAGCATCTGAAAAATAAGCAGAACATTCAAACAAAAGACTCATTGGACTAGTTTCAACGAAAGAGAAACGACTTAATAAATAAAAATAGTGACTAAACACTACAATAATTATTAAAAAAGAAAAAACTAAATTTTTTCATCATAAGTTTGACGCAAATTTTCAAGCCAAACAAGTCGATCTTTAGGTTTTGTTTGAAAATATGATTGTTGTAAAGATGAATATGTTTCCACAACTGGTATTACATCTCGATATGTATTATCTTGCCAACAATAATTGAAACGTTTCAAAACATCAATTATTAATGATTCATCACCTTTCAACATATCAATAGGTTCAACACGAGGTAATAATGGATATTTAAGTGTTTTAAAAATTAGAACTGATCTTAATGCAAACCAACCGCCATATTTTGGATGAAGACATATACCCATCATATTCTATATAAAAAAAAACAAAGCATTACTAAGAAAAAAACTTATATGAAGAAACAAAAACGACGATTTACTCGATCTTTAGGAAATGGATCATTTTTGAGCTGTTGACGACTATAAAAATGAGCTGCACCTGCAATATGACCAACTGTTTGCATAACTATTTTTGGTCGTCGTGTTGGCCACAGATCATAGTCGAAAAGAACATCGATTTCATGATCAGGAATTTTCTATTATAACAAACAACATTGAATTTTTTTTCCAAAATATCTATCAAAACGAAAAAACTAATACTTTAGTCACGGATTCAATTTTTTCTTTGACACAACAATCAATTGGATCACGAGTAAGATCTTTGTCTCTGTTGAGTGCATACGGTAAAAATGTCTTTTCAAACATACTTGGTGTACTAACGATAAGAAAAGCAACTGTATCATCATCATATGTTGACAGACGAAATAATGGATCAACAACGGAATTATACCATGAAATCTAAAGAGATATATTTTTTTTAATCTATTAATGATAACTAATAGGCGCGAAATTATTTACTAGAAAAGGATAAACTTCAAAACCAGATTCGAGAAGATTATTTTGTAAAACTTCATAGATTGCATCAAAACCCATAGTTCTTAAAATAGAACAGATAGAAAGATTCTAGACGATGAGAATAGAATTTTCAATAGAAATCTAAAACAAAATAAAAATAGATATTTCGTTTCTACTGACAAAGTGTATGTTTGTAATTTGTTCTAAATAAGAAAGTTATTACTATCCGAATCTTTTAATGAAAAATATATTCCTATATAAAAACTAATATGGAAAAATGCCATATAGAGAATGAGAAAAAGTACATATTTTTATCTGACTTGGTTTAAGAGAGACTTTTGTGAATCAAATTTTACAATTATTTATATATATAATTATAGATATCAAATAAATAAAAAATGGATAAAATTCGAGTAATTAGTATTGTTCTTCTTTGTGCATGCTAATACTTTTGTTGCAAGACCATGAAGTTAATTCAATAGAAATTCCTATTCGAATAGGTCTGAAAAAAAACAAATAAAGTATGTATCAAAAAATTACATTGGAAATGTAAAACAAGAACAAGATAAATGTCAATGAGAAAATTGATAATAAAAAAAGAAAAACATTCCATGAATTTAATTGCAATTAAAATATATAAACAACAGGAAAACAAGCAACTTTTCCATAATGGCGCAACAATAAGAAAAGTTCCTTTCCTACTTTACACAGTAACATGACTGTTGGATTTTTTTTCAGTATAGCGAAAGAGATAGTACTTTCTCAAAATTGTAAGTAACTTGGGTACTTTACTTTCGCTAGAGGTACTTAGTATTGGAAACACTGGGCAAGAATGACGACAATAGTTTAGATCTATGTCTGATTGGGCCTACATAATAAAACTGAATGAATAATGAGAGTCATCTAAAATATAGATGTCGTATCATTCAGTGAGCTTCACTTTACTTGTTTGATTATAAGATATTCAATGACATATAAAAAATGCTCTAGTTGAAAATATTCAATAAAATTAAGTTTTAAAATTTTATATCAACTAGTCTAGTATAATATAGTTTGATAAAACGGTTGAAAACTCGTTAATTTCATTGGTATTTTCGGGTTTTGTCGTGCGAGTCTGACACAGCTGAATAGTAAACATTTTGTTGATGGATAAAATGTCTACTTTCTTATATCGATATTTTCTATCATGAAAACTTTATAGAGGAAAATTCTCATAACAATTAGAATAAATATCAGTAGCAATAGTCAATGAAACGTTCTAAATCATAGGTTTCGATCAGAGACGGATTGGAAAGAGTGAGTCACCCCTTTTTTTTAGAGAGTGTCTGTTGAAAGTTTGTATTCTTAATTGAAATCTGTCTATTTGGTTTTAGAAGTTTTTTCTTAGCAAATTTCTACTGAAGATGCTGCCTACGATTGTCTATCAAATTTTCAGTGTCTGTCGCTCCGAAAAGTTATTGGAAGTCATGTTTAACATGAAGAAATTTACTTCAAAATAGAACAAAATTTGTAATACTTTGTCAATTAATAGTAATGAACACTCTTGTATTCAGAAGTGCTCAAAGAATGGGATCGGGGAATGAATTTTCCGTCTAATCTTACAAAAAATTTTGCTTTTCACTAGAGAAACTGAGTGCTCTTCTTTTTTTTGCTAACGAATCTCCACAAACAAGGATTGCTTCCACTCAATCTTAATGACATCGGAACACCCTTGCTTGTATTGCTACGGGTAACAATTTCTATGATGTTTTCTTGAAAATCTTGTTTAATAGAATCCCACTAGATCTTCATTTTCTTACGTTGTAGTTGGTACAAAGCTTTCGCTTCAGCGGTATCTCTACAAGGTCAAATTGATTTTTTACTATTGATCGATCTATCGTTCATGTGGTACCTCGATATAAAAGTAGAAAGTCATATTGTAGATGAAAAGCAAAATAAATGAAAGAAGTTAGCAAGCGTCTACTTCCAAATATCATTCACTGAATATTATTGAAATTATCAATGAATCATGTTGTTGTCGAGTCGTAATTTACAATAGCTGATATCAACCGTGTACTTGTGATCTGAAAACATTATATTTGAAAACAGCGCCGTCTATCAGCGCTGAATAACTACTGGAGATTTCATTTATTTATCTGTATCATGCCTGCCTTACACATACACTGATGAAGATATACTGAGTGATCATGAAATTAATTTTTTCGTCCGTCCAAGATTTTGCTCTCATCACAAGATACTTTCGATATCGTACTTTGTCAAAAAACACTACGCTCATGGCATCTACTTCTTGTTACAATGCTTACATTCCAAGTGATGCTATTCCAACTGCACAAACAAAGATCAAGCTTGCAGATCGTCTCTTAGTTTCTCCTCTTAGTAAGTAACAAACTATTCAGTCGCAGCATGTCATACCTTGTACTAACGCCATAGTTGTTGGTACTTGGGCATGGGGAGACAAAAGACTATGGGGTTGGAACGAAGAACTAGATGTAAAAGCTAAAGAAGCTTTTGACATGTCCTTGTCATTAGGAATCAATACTTTCGATACTGCTGAAATCTATGGATTTGGTGAAAGGTGAGCAGAAACGGATTACCAACATTAAAAGGGAAATTATTACTTTTTAGTGAACGTTGCATTGCTCGATATAAAGCAGATCACCCAATTGCTAATACTGAAGATATTGTCATTGCCACAAAGTTTCTTCCTCTTCCTTACAAATTGTCTTATCCAAGTTCATTGATCAATGCACTTCGAGCAAGTCTAGATAGATTAAAGGTATCAGATAACTTGAAATTTTGTTTTTGATTTTTGTGAAATGATTCGATGAACGTAGATATATATGTATATATTAAATGTAAATTGTTCTGCGACGATATGAATTTGAATATGATTTGTCAAAAAAAAAAAATGCTTAGTATACTTCCAATTTTGAAATTTAATGTTTAGTTGTGATATGTTATTGAGAATTTTCGAAATTCATTTTTCAATATCTGACTATGAAAATAATAAATATAATTTCTTGCTTTACTACTTTCGCTATTAAAACAAAAACTAAGCGTTAGTCATCCAGAGTATATTTATCTGATAAGAGAAAAAGAGTGCCAATAATAGAATTGTATTTTAAGATCAAAGATCTATTATTCTAAAATATTCATTCCGACGTATACTAAAATTGATCATATCAATAATTATGAGATAAAAAAATATAAAGAAGTTAGCTAACTTTCTGGTGTCAAAAGTGCGAATTATGATAAATAATACTAATGTGATCATCGATCATTTGATCATTTCGTGTTGCACAAAACACTCTTCTGAAATCTTTAAGAAGAGTGAATAATTTTAAGAGGCAAAAATGCTATCGAAGGGACTCAGTTCCATCACTTTTACGTCAACGAAATTATTTACAAAAATCGGCATGTCCAAAAAAAATGAAAACAAATAACTTGAATAGAATATGATTCTTGTTACAGGTGAACTGCATCGATCTCTATCAAATTCATGGTCCCATTCATCTTCGTTCTATTGAAGTTATTGGTAATGCATTAGCTGAAGTAGTCAAACTTGGTCTTACTAAGACGGTAGGTGTTTCCAACTATTCTACAACTCAGACAATCAAAATGTATGATTGCTTACAAAAACATGGTATTCAACTTGCATCGAATCAAGTCGAATTTTCACTTCTTCGACGTTCACCAGAAACATCAGGACTTATTACAGAATGCCATAAACGAGATATTGCTGTTCTGGGATATTCTCCACTTGTAAGTCAATGAAGGTCACCCCAAATAGTGAAGATGGTTATGCTATACGATTATTTGCTTTTTTCCTTGATGGTTAGGCAATGGGTCGTTTGACTGGTAAATATTCGAAAGCTAATCCGCTTCCTGTTAATCGTGACTTCTCCAATATCAATATGGATGAATTAGAGCCGTTATTAGAATCAATGCGCTGTATTGCAGATAAACACAATGTTAGTGTCTCTTCTGTTGCTTTGAATTACGTTATTTGCAAAGGTATTATATAACTTATTCTCTGATACATAGAAAAAGATCACTACTACTCATGGCAATATTCCTTTTTCTCGATGGTAGTTATACAAAGCTTCTGCTTTATTGGAATAAGTATAGGTTATAGCATAGGAAAAGAAAATAGTTTCTGAGTCTTTACATTATATGCATCTTATGCCATTGTTAGACAGCAGTTGTAAAAATGAAAAGAACACTCACAATGTGCCCAAGATTATATAAGAATCTAATGATTCGTATTAGATTACTAATAGTCATTGAAAAAAGTCTCATGTACACATTAGTTTACGTCTTTTGAAATGCAATACATTTGATCAGTAGTTCATGGCATTACAGTCTGATATGCACTTTTGGACTAAAGTCGTCCGAAGTTTATGTTAATTTTAGTTGGTTTGAATTCATGTCAAGATTAATATTGTAATAAGTGAAGTTTGAGACTATGTTGACAAGTATTTTGAAGTACTCGTCGAAGAAATAGAATTAAAAAAAATATAAACTGTGTACTGTCTATTATGAGAAAGTTATTTGATATGATTGGTGAAACATAAAATATATCAAACAACACTTGTTTACACTATCTTCTGTTATTCTCATAGCCACATCCCCTATAATGATAAAGATGAACGAATTTCTTGACGTTCTTTTTCTTTTTCTTTTTTTTTACAAAAGAAGTGTCTTGAAAACTGATAACTCGGGTATTTGAGACAATATGTCATTGTTTTGCATTTATATTCTAAAGTAAGAATTATTTGATTCAAACAATAGAAGTTTTGCTATATTAATATTTTATTAATATTATTTTCTAGGTGTTATTCCTCTTGGGGGTGCTCGTGATGGCAAGCAAGCTGAACAAAATGCTAGTGCTTTAGGGTGGCGTTTGACGAATGAAGAAATCGCACAATTGGAAAGTTATCATATCAATCCAAAGCCGACTTTCCTAAATCGACTTTTGCAACATGGTTGAAAATATGGTATCGCTAGTAGTTAACCAGTGCATTCTTGAAAATGTGCAATACTAATAAATTTTTTATAACTATTTGATACAGGAACAAGTTGAACCAATTTTTCATATGTCAGGTATCCCAAGCCTCAATGCTATTTGCACTACCTGAGTGTCACAGATCTCCCAGGCGACACGCTCATGTGACACCTTCAAGTCCCGACTTTGCAAGAATTCGTCTTATAACATGATCAATGAATCTGCAGAACAATATCGGAAAGAGGAATCAACCCTACTGGATGCCAGCGCTTATTCAAATACTCTGGGACTAAAGTCTCCTTCGACTAGTACTTTGACTTTTGTATTCTCATGCAACAGTTTGAATATTCTGATCGTCTTATTAGATTGTCCGTATGCACGACATAACCCCCATTGTGCCTCAAAGTCAACCAAACTATAGACATTTTGAAGGTCGATGAAACAGATATGCAGTGGCTGATTGAACTTTCTTAAGCTTTTCATAACCATTTTTCATGTAAACACTTGATCCATTGTGAATCTGTCAGAACGAAAACCTGCTTGATCCTCTAGTCATTTTTTGTCTGTCACGCTCTGAATACATGTTAATAGGATTCAAGAAAATGTTTTTCCTGTTACAACAAGCAAAGACATACTCCGATAGTTGTCACAGATTCATTTATAATCCTCATTCTTATATAACTGTATCAGGACAGTCATTGTTCAATCATTTACTTTGACCTTCTGCTCTCAAGCATCATAGATGATTACATATAGCTAGCTGTTCAGCTAGAGATAGCTCATCGAGTTTCAGAAGCTCTGCAACCATCCTATCTTTTTCCGAGGTTCTCCTATTGCTAATCTTTTGAATTGCTCTCACTAACTCACCAATAGTTGGTATAGTATCCTGTTATGATAGCTCTTCTTGATCAATGGAAGAGCTCGTAATTTGTTATAATACGTGTTCACCAATTGCTGTTTCTATATTAAACATTTCATTAAACTATTCTCTCTACCTGTATAACGGTTCTTGGCAGTTGGTGAAGGTAATTCCATCCTTGTCATGAATGGTTACATGTTTCGTATTCGCACCATTACTGCGAAAGTGTCATATTATTTAGAATTCAATTGCTGGATCGTGGTCTTTCACTACATTTTCAATGTCAGCATTTCATTTCTCACAATATTCGTGCTGCCTAACTTCTGCCTTATTCTTAACTAGTTTGGCCAACATATGGTATTGATTTCCGTGTTGATCCTTCTCTTTCATATCACGATGAAATTGCTATTGAATATGATCTTTGCCTTTCTTATCCACAACATAACTCCACCACAGAGACCGAAATCCAGCGGCTTCTGTGCCGATCGCAAGTCCGGATAAAGGAGGAGTGTTTGACGGAAGGGGTGCAGATACCGCTATCTGTAAAAAGAACAAGACGACAGAAACCAACCATGAACGACTTCAACACGAAACCATACCGGCTCGAACGGCGCCCGGCTGAACAAGGTCCGCGTCCTCTGTCGAGTGACCAGGGCAGAGTCGAAAAGTTGGCGACTGCAAAGAATTCATATACGACAAAAAACACGCAAAAACTAATACTTGCCAAAAATACTCTGACAGTAGGAACATGGAATGTGGAGACCCTATGGACTGCTGGCAAGCTAGAATTACTTAGAAATGAAATGAAACGTTTCAGATACGACATAATTGGTATTTCCGAAGTGCGATGGACAGGAAAAGGTGAAACACCGAATGGAGATTTCATCTGGTCAGGAGAAGAATCCTCACA